GCGGGTGCTAAGCGGAGTGGCTGTTGAAGGGGGGAGGCGGTCAGCAGCGGGGCAGTCCTTGTTCCGTGAGGTTTTTGAAACGGCTCCTTTTTATAACTTACGATTCGTGCGTGTAACCACGTGTTTGTACTGCTGTCACCCTCTTCCGAGCCGGCCGACCGCTTCCTACGCCTGTCACACGCAGGCGCCGCACCGTCTCTTCATTTGGCGTACGAAATCTTTGGGGCAGAAACCTCTCATTTTAAAGCGGGCCTGCACTGTCAGTTAAAGCGAAACTACATTTTAAACTTGCCGGATACCAGTCCGTGCCACCCCCTGTAGATAGAGACAACGCCTGTTGTTGGATTTTAGGCCGTATCCTTAGGTGATTAAATGATCTGTGCCGTGTTGTGCAGGTAATTGTACCAGTTAGACAGGCTTCTCTCACCCACATGAGCAAAATCTAGTCATTCTGTAAGAAAACTACATTCTGTAATTCTCACAAGATCTCACGTTCTCACCAAATTTTTCAGTCAAACTATAATAAGCTTATGCTGGCTGGATTATTAAATCTTGCTTAGATAGGATTGTATAGCGTGGAAAGTAAGCTGAGAAGCTGAACTGTGTGGGTGTATACGCAAATAGGAGCATGTGAGGAAAAATACCTTGAAAAGCATTATGTTTGCTGAACCAAGTCCTGGAGGTTGCTAGATCATCCCACTGGATAACTATCAGTTCTCTGAAGCAATCTAAAAATGGACTTTCTTATTCAGAAAAATCACCTTACAGAAACGGCGTGTTCTTTATGAATGTGTGTACACCTTGGTTTTCGTTAGGGGCACAATTTTCTGACTGAGGCCTGTCTTGCAAAGCCTTAGGTCCTTACTTACCTATCTGTATGTAATTGCACAAAATCCCTGTTGATGGCCTGTTGTAGCTGTTCACATGCATGCATGCATATATTGCCCTACAGCACTGAATCCTGTTACAAGAAGATGCTGCTGCTTATTACTGTTATTTACCCCATACACTTAATACGAGGAAGTGAACTAAAGTAAAGTGAACTAAATTCGGGTTAAAGCAGAGGACTTGGACAAAGGGGATAACTTACCCTGCAGTACCAGACAAAAAGCAGTGGTAGCATTTTAGAATTATTCATGTGTGTTAGTGTGTATGGAAAAGGCTTTATGAGTGCTTCAGATGAGCGTGGAGAAGCCATCAGTGCCACCTCACCATCTGCCTGATAACCACAGCATTGTAGGTTCTGCACCTGCTCTGTGTTTGAGACAAAACTGTTTCGAAAGAGATGCAAAGAGGCTTTTTGGAAACAATTATTCGGACTCTTATTTTTGTTTATTTAGTGAGACTGTTTCTCCTGCAACGTTTAAAGACATGTGAACGTAGGTAAAAGACACCTTGGGTCCAGCTGCAGAGATTTTTTTTAATCTGATGGTACAAATTAGGATGGCTCTGCAGTCAGAGTTCAGCAACCCGATAGACGAGCGAGGCAGAGGAGGGGTGCTTATGGCAATGAGTGTAATTTGACCCTGCTGCAAAAAATAAAATATCTAGGAAGTTCTAGAGAGAATTCAGATATTTAAATTCTGAATACTTCAAAAGCCAGTTTCCCACAAGGCAGCCAGTTCCTTATGCCATCCTTCTACAGGGGAAATCAGCTTCTTCCTCACCTGGAACTATGCCCTATTAGTCTTTTTTGTTTTCTGTGTGGATTCTGCAGCTTTGGAGTTTCTGTCTAACTCTGTGGACTTGTATGAAAGTTTAGGCTCAGATGGGTGAAGAAAATGTGATAAAAGTTTGATTGCTTTTGAATGTTATTGTCGCAGGAAGAAAAGGAGAATTGCCATTGTTTGGTACCGTTAAAACCACTCTCAGTCAGCTTGGTGTAGGTACACTGGGCAATCCTAGAGCAGTGTAGTGCGGATGCCTTGAAGATGTTTTCTACTCCCGTAAAAACTTAATTTATAGATAGAATTGCAGATATAAACAGAGAAATCAGAGCTATTCCACAGGTATCAACGCAGATCGCAAAGAGAGGGTAATTCCTAGGTCTGGAAGCCTTTATTTCTTTCTCATCAGTTGTAATTGATAGAATGATGCCTTTAAGACTGTGCCACAAAGACCTTGGCAAGAAATGTGGGCAGCTCTCAACATTTTACTCAATTTGATGGTAACAGAAATAGACAGCAGAATCATCGTTGCTGGTACTTTGTGTTCATATTTGTTTGATCAGTTTGACAGCAGGACATGTACCTGCCTGGAGCCTTTTGGCACAACTGAAAGATATTTTAAAAGGAGAAAAAAAAAATTTCAGGGAGCTGTCCTGTCCCTTTATGCAGTGACACTGTTTTGTGTCTTTCTGTTCAGCTTCCTTGTGTTTCTGAAGTACCAGATTTATTACGGTTACCCTCTGCAGACTTACCTGGAATATCCTATCATCATTGCCCAAGGTAATTTTTTTAAGCCAGTTTTGGAAATAAAACAGGGTTCATTCAATCCTGCAAGGCTCTGTGTGTGTGTACAGTACTCTGCTATAGTAATGTGAATCCACTGACCAGTTCTAGCTGGTGTTGGGGTGGAGGGAGAGGGAATGAATATCTCAAATATAATTGAATTCCACCTATATGTTACATGAAAATAGATGGTCAGGAGGAAGACAAAGGTCTAACTAATTCCCGCCCCCTACAGTGGGGCTGCAGTGTAAACTCATTCTTTAGCCATTGATTCTTTATCCAATAAATCCATGTGGGAGAGAAACCTTATAAATGCTCCAAACTGGGAAAAGCTTTATTTTGGTGCTTGTGGTGTTTTGGACATGGGTCAAATTTGAGAGATGAACCTCTAAGAAACCAGGTTCCTTAGGCATGGTGCTCAGTGGAGCTACTTCCTTCTGTCTAAAATTGTATTTGAGCCCATTATCTCCCTTCTGTAACAAGCGATATTTTATTTATTTCAGATATCATTCTCTTTTTGTTTATTCTGCATTTCAGTGGAAACATGAAACAAGCTTTGCTCTACACAGTCACGTATCCTTTCAGATCTGGCAGTATCTGTTTATGTAGCTTGTTCGGTAGTTCTTTGCATAGCTTTGTTATTATTTGTTTTGTAGTATCATTGTAAATTATGTTCAGCCATCCCTCAAAGTGCATTCTGCATTCACGTGCGGATTCCTTTTGTCACAGTATGTAACTATGTTCTGAGAGACCAACAACAGATGAGGAGTAAGACCAATTCTTAATTTACATCCTTGCTAGAAATGCAGGCTGGAAATGATGAAGCATCTTACTGTGACTCCTACCCATGCAGATTGTACTTGCTATGATGAACACAGTAGCTATTTTTATAAAAAATAGGATTTGGGCTTAAATCTCAAGCCTTCTGCTTTGGAGCGGGTCTTGAGAAACTCCAGGTGCTGTTCAACCAAAGACACTGTGAAGAATAGGAGCACTTACTGTTTCACCCAGTGCTTAATTTGTTTTATCCAGATTGTATGGTCTGTGTATAAAGTTTCAATAAGATTATTTCCAGATGTTAGAAAAAACTACTTCCCCCGCCAGTTTGGAGAGCTTGGATACCCTACAATTTTCAGTGCTGTAAAACTTAACATTACTTAAGATTTGTGGGGGGGTGGTGCATGCTGACACTGCAGAAGTGGATAATAGACCTGGCGATGGTAAGTGTTACTTGATTACCTGAAATTATGTCCATATATGAAATAATCCTTTCTGAAAGTCTTTATTGGTGAACAACTCCCCTTGTATTTGTCCTTGAAGGAAATCATCATTTAGGTTAGCTTTCAGAACAACCAATATCTGTTGTTCTCAAACATAGCTGTTTCTCTCACTTGTATGTGAAGCTTGAAAACAAGGCACTTGCAACACAGACTCTGTGCAAAAAAACCTGTATGTTCTGAGGTATGATTATGTTAATTGTAGCAGGTTGAGAGTGTTAAAGTTGCTGGCATGACCTTGTCAGTGTATAGTATTAACGCTAGAACAGGTTTAAGAAGCTGAAAAAAGAGATGCTAGTCTCTTTAGCCCTAATTTCATAATCCCCATAAATAAATCTTTAACATGAGAGGAAAAGAAGGGAGCATCAGTCAAAGTATTTGAAATGGAGAGTGTTAAATGTTTCACAAGATCTTTTTCCCTTTAGTCATAGAATTTTTCAAGAAAAATATCATCTGATAATGTCCTAGGTAGTGGTAAAGATGGTCTTTGCCCTTTTTATGAGAAGAAAGTTAACTGAGCTGAACTGGAGTTTCTACTGGAAAAGATAATACAAATGGGGATAAAAGCTTCTAAGCCTAATACTGATCCTTACTTGCAAGGGAAATCCAGGCATGGCACAAAGTCCCATGTGGAGATCCTCTCCACCCGCTGCCCACTGCCTTTGCAAAATCCCCCTTAAAAGGATGACAGGTTGAGTAGTCCCTTTCCCTTCATTTTTCCCCACCAATTGGACTCATTTTACACACATTCTTGTCAGGTTTCTCATTCTTTTATTATTTTGTTTGCCAGACAGAATGGTAACAGATGGTATGAATCAACTTTTCTATTTAGACTAGATCAATCTCATTTCAGCTAACTTTTGTAAACAGTTTTACGTAGCAGGCTGAGGGGAGGGTTTTTTTGCACCTCTTGCTGTAGTTGCATCTACCAGATGTTTGTTTGCCCACAGTAGTAGTCGTTGTCCTCTTTGAACTTCTTTCTGAGCGGTACCTCAGAACTCAGTCCCTTGTTTCTGACAACTTTAATTTTTTTGCCTCGCAGTTCCTTGATAAGAAGCTGTAATGCTTGGGTTACAAAAAAATTGAGAAAAATGTTTTTTTCTATTTTAAATGAAAAAGCTATTCCTAATTTTTAGTAAACTCCGTTCCTAACAGTTAACCGTAAGCTAAGCACTCAGATAATACAATGGCAGAGACAGAGGTTTTTTCTCTCTTTTTACATGCTTTGCAGAATTTGTGCACGCTAATCAGTGCAGCAAGTAAGCTTGCTCAGCTGCAGTGTCTCTGGCAGACAAAAGATTCTGGACAAGTGAGCGCCTTGACCTGGAGTATGTCTGCATATACCTGTGCAAGTAAGCTATGGGCAACTTGGTAGAAAGCATTGAGTTTTCATTTTATAAAACCATTTCTGCTCCAAATGCCTGTGTCAATAGGTCTTTGCTAAACCAAAGATAAAAATCTTGCCTAAGGTAGTTTTCCATACTGACTACCGAGCCCACCGCTAAACAGGGCAGCGGCCCTGGTGACAAAGGGCACAAAAAAGGTAGAGGTACTCATGCTTTTTCTCCTCAGCCTTTGCTGGTAAGACTGGCCCTCAGGAATCTCAAGTCTTTAAGAGCAGAAGGGAAGCCTGGAGCAATGAAGACTTACTCTCCACGGAGGAAAATCAGATTAGGTAACACTTAAACAAACTGGACACCCACAAGTCTATGAGCCCTGACAGAATTCACCCATGAGTGCGGAGGGAGCTGGCTAATGTCATTGCAAGGACACTCTCGATCATCTTTGAAAGGTCTTGTTAACTGGGAGATGTTCCTGACGACTGGGGGAGATCAAATGTCACTTCTATCTTCAAGAAGGGCAATAAGGAAGATCCAGAGAACTACAAGCTGGTCAGCTTCGCCTCCAGCCCTGGGAAGGTGATGGAGCAAGTAGCCCTGGATGCTATTTCCAGGAAGGTGAAAGTGAAAGGAAGGCAATCAGGAGTAATCAGCATGGATTTGTGAAGGGGAAATTGTGCTTAACTAACCGAATAGCCTTCTTCGATGAGAAGACTGGCTTGGTGCATGAGGGGAGAGCAGTGGAGGTTGTTTATCTTCTTTTTAGTAAGGTTCTTGACCCTGTCCCTCCCATAACATCCTCATAGACAAGCTGAAGAACTACAGGCTAGATAAGCAGACAGTGAGGTAAACGGAAAACTAGCTGAACTGCCAGGTCCAAAGGGTTGTGGTCAGTGGCACAAAGACCAGCCGGAGGCTAGTCACTAGTGCTGTCCCCTGGGGTAAATCCTGGCTCCAGTACTGTTTAATATATTTATTAGTGACCTGGATGAGCGGACTGAATGTACCCTCAGCAAGTTTGCTGATGATACTAAACTGGGAGGAGTGGCTGATACACCAGAGGCCTGTGCTGCCATTCAGAGGGACCTCGACAGGCTGGAGGAATGGGCAGAGAGGAACCGCCTGAAGTTCAACAAAGGCAAGTGCAGGGTCCTGCACCTAGGGAGGAATAAAACCGTACCTCAATAAGTGTTTTGGGGCTGGGCTGCTGGAAAGCAGCTCTGCAGAGAAGGCCCTGGGTGTCCTGGTGGACAAGTTGACCATGAGCCAGCAACGTGTCCTTGTGGCCAACAAGGCCAATGGTATCCTGGGTTGCATTAGGCAGAGCATTGCCAGCAGGTGGAGGGAGGTGATCCTGTCCCTCTACGCAGCCCTGGGGAGGCCTCGTCTGGAGTACTGTGTCCAGTTCTGGGCTCCCCAGTACAAGAGAGACATGGAGCTCCTGGAATGAGTCTAGTGAAGGGCTGCAAAGATGACTGGGGAACTGGAGCATCTCTCATCTGAGGAAAGGCTGAGGGAGCTGGGCCTGTTCAGCCTGGAGAAGAGAAGATTGAGACTGGAGCTCATCAATGTGTGTAAGCATCTGAAGTACAAGAGGATAGGGGCAGGCTCTTCTCCGTGGTGCCCAGCGACAGGACAAGAGGCAACGGGCACAAGCTGACACTCAGGAAGTTCCATCTGAATGTGAGGAAAAACTTCTTTCCTGTGAGTGAGCACTGGCACAGGTTGCCCAGAGAGGTTGTGGAGTCTCACACCTGGATGTGATCCTGGGCAACATGCTTTAGAGGACCTTGCTTGAGCAGGGGGGTTAGACCAGGTGATCTCGAGATCCCTTCCAGCCTCAGCTGTTCTGAGTTCTGTGATTCTATGAGGCTAAGATACCGTGCAGTCTCCTGAAATCAAGTTTTATCTTTGTCATCAGCTCAATGTTTTACTTAAGTTCCTTTGACCATTATTACACATTGTCCAATCATGATGAAATAATTGAGAGTGCCTTTACGAAGAAAAGATCTCAACATTCTAGGATTTAATAATATTATCAATTATCCAGCATGAAAAGGTACTAATTTTTTTAGTTATGTAGACAGACATTGCTGATTCTGAAAAGCATCTATTAACAAATACAGGCTTAATGTAAAATACCTCTTAACTTTATGACTGTGTGTAAATACTTTGCTCAACAGGCTGAATTTAAGAATGTATTGAGAGCAGTAATTTGTGCAGCTCATGTATGTGTTTGGTTAATTACCTGGTGGTCAGCATCAACAGTTCTATAGCTCTTCAGCAGAAGTGCCCTTGTTGTAGTCAAAAAACCTGTTTAAAATATTCTTTAGTAAAGTATATTGCTGTTGGATCTATTCCTCTGTGAAAGAAATGGTTTTAAGTCAATAATTCGAAGTTGTGGTATGTCAGCTGAACAGTACTAATAATCTTTGTAAATGATTTTAGCCTGCCGCAAATATGGAAAATGTAACATTTGGATATTATTTGTTGTGTGTATGGAAGCTGATTTCCTCATATTTGAACAAGTCTAAACACATGCAAGTGAACATTTACAATTTAACGATGCTAAGTCATGGCAACTTGATCATGGGTGTAGCGCAGTATCAACTACTGAAGGAGGGGTTGAACAGATAGAGGAGTAAACATCCCACCTAGTGAGATATATAAATATATATGTATATATATATAGTGTGTATATATATATTCTAACTATATCAGGGATTCTTTTGCTAATTAAAAAAAATACCCTTAATACAGTGCCACTCAAGTTTGAGAGCTTGGACTCGGGCTAAAGTACTGAAGGATGGACATGCTAAAAATGAATATGTTTGTATAAGGTATATTTTTATGCAAGATTATTCTCCAGTGCAAAATAGATACTTCATCTTTTTTTTAAAGTATAAACATGTCATATGTAGTCCGCTAATCGCAATTCCTTCAATTTACAGCAAGAATAATTACTACTTTAATGACTACGAATGATCTTATAGGTGAGTAAAGTGTGACATTGCCTGTCTTTCCGAGATGACAGCTGTCAATAGTAACTATTTGTAGTAAAGCAGTTTCTGTTCTCAAAATAACAAATTGTGAAATAGAGCTTAATACAGTGAGGGAAGGGGTTCCTGCTAAAAAAAGTAATACAAGATTTCAAATGAGCAAGACAGCTGAAGAAGTGCCCTTGTTGTAGTCAAAAAACCTGTTTAAAATATTCTTTAGTAAAGTATATTGCTGTTGGATCTATTCCTCTGTGAAAGAAATGGTTTTAAGTCAATAATTCGAAGTTGTGGTATGTCAGCTGAACAGTACTAATAATCTTTGTAAATGATTTTAGCCTGCCGCAAATATGGAAAATGTAACATTTGGATATTATTTGTTGTGTGTATGGAAGCTGATTTCCTCATATTTGAACAAGTCTAAACACATGCAAGTGAACATTTACAATTTAACGATGCTAAGTCATGGCAACTTGATCATGGGTGTAGCGCAGTATCAACTACTGAAGGAGGGGTTGAACAGATAGAGGAGTAAACATCCCACCTAGTGAGATATATAAATATATATGTATATATATATAGTGTGTATATATATATTCTAACTATATCAGGGATTCTTTTGCTAATTAAAAAAAATACCCTTAATACAGTGCCACTCAAGTTTGAGAGCTTGGACTCGGGCTAAAGTACTGAAGGATGGACATGCTAAAAATGAATATGTTTGTATAAGGTATATTTTTATGCAAGATTATTCTCCAGTGCAAAATAGATACTTCATCTTTTTTTTAAAGTATAAACATGTCATATGTAGTCCGCTAATCGCAATTCCTTCAATTTACAGCAAGAATAATTACTACTTTAATGACTACGAATGATCTTATAGGTGAGTAAAGTGTGACATTGCCTGTCTTTCCGAGATGACAGCTGTCAATAGTAACTATTTGTAGTAAAGCAGTTTCTGTTCTCAAAATAACAAATTGTGAAATAGAGCTTAATACAGTGAGGGAAGGGGTTCCTGCTAAAAAAAGTAATACAAGATTACAAATGAGTAAGACAGCTGAAGAAAAAAAAAGAAGTAACTCTGGTTATGCTTGTCGTATGTTGATGCAGTGGTTCAGAAGCCATAATTTCTTTTAAAAAGGAAGAAGCACTATGAGGTTTACTTAATTAGGAAAATAGTGGAATAAAATGTTTAAAAATCTTTAATTTAAATACACTAATACATCTATGTAGTAAATTAAAATAAAATAATCTTAATATATCTATAATAATTGAGTAGTAGTTTCTGCAAGTAATAAGTGGTTCTTTTTTTCATTCTAGGGTTTGTGCATTAAAAAAATCTTCTGTAAAACTGTTTAAAAGTCAGCTTAGTATAAACAGTTTTAGGCAGGACATTTAGAAAGAAGTTTATAGTGGAGTGAAAGTGGTAGAGCAGGCTAGTAGAAAACTCACCCAAAACTGACTTTAAAAATATAATTAGCAGATAATTTCATTACAAAGCAAAGCTATTTAACAGCTTCTTACAATCCTATGAAAAAGAATGTTCCTGACAAAACTGATGGAGTTAAGGAGTGCAGCAGATTTTTCAATATATAGTTCAAAATCATGATTTGTTGGATGTAAGGACATTAATAAAATCACATTGTACTGTATGTAGTGGATCTTTGTTCTAGTTCAAGGCTGGTATTTCAGCAGAAGCATCATTTGAATCGATTTTTTTTTTAAAGCAGCCCTCTGCAGCACAATAAGGCTCTAGTTTTACAAGTATTTAAGATGGCTCTTTCACTGGAAAGGGGAGTCCCTTTTTCAATTGCACATTTCCGTTCCCGTGCTTATACTGCCTTCTCTGCACCAGAATACGAGCTTTTATTGAGTTAGCTGGATCACCAAAAAAAGGCAAAGCAAATTTAATCTAGGTCACTTGCTGAGTCCAGTTCACACACAGCTGCATGCTTGTGCTGATTAAGAAGGGGGGAGAGGTATATTGAGGGGACAAAAGGGAGAAAAATGCTATCTAAAAGTGCCAGAGAAACTGAATCCCTTGAAAGCAAAGCTGGCTCTGGTTAAAGCTACTCTTTAAAACGTATCCTTTGCAACATGAAAGAGGTCACAGCAAACACTGATACGGCAGCATTAAAGGAACATGATTCTAGTCAGCTTCAAACACTTAACACTTTTGTCATATTCATCTTGGTTGCTAAAACTGTCAAAGATCACTTCTGAAAGGAAGTTTTGTGTACATTTCTGTGAATGCTCCATTTGCCAAGTGGATATTAGATATATTTGTACTACAAATTGCAGTCTCCCAGGTAGAGATACTGTGCTTATTTTGCCTTAAAAAAATTCTGAAAGTTATCAAGACAGTGAGCAAACAGCACTTTTTACTGAGTTGTCAGATTTTTCTCTCATTAATATCTGACAGTATACAATATTTCCTGCATCCCTACAGTCAGAGCTGAACAGATGGTGTTATAGAATAATCCCTCTGTTATGAATAACACATGCAAGTATAAAGGACATGTGAGTTGCAACTCTTAAGTTTTGTGTTCGGTGTAAATACAAATTTAAATGAGACTCCTCAAACTTGTGTTACTCTGCAGCAATTCTTTTGTCCCAAAAGGATTAAAGATACTGTGGTGTATTATTTTCAGCTGTCACCCAGCAAATGCTAAATGGTCTTTTCTGCTATGCACTTCTCCATTGTTTCTCCCTTCTTAAGCAAAATGTGCACATGGAATTTACTTTGAGAATTTCTGGGTTCCTGAACATGGCAATTTACACCAGCAAAAGTTTACAAGCCGTTGTGTCTTCTGAAAATGACAGCATTTATTTATTTATTTATGCTTATAAAGTGTTTTTTTCCCCTTTTAGTTCTCATCCGTTTCATAACCATGCTCATTCTCAATATCTGGGTCACAGCCACAATCCTGCACTACAGGAAAACTAAAAAGACCGATTAGAAGACACCCATCAGCACACAATATAGCTATCATTAAAAGAACTGGAACAATTAAGTTTAAACAACAAAACAGGGTTTGAGGAAGCTCTCTCTAGCTTATCTTAACATACATAGTATAGTCATGCTTGTTTTCTGTTAGAAATAATTTTAATAATAAGATACTCCTTTTAAGCAGCATTTTTTTATTGGTCATTTAAGACAAGTTTCACTGTATCACATTTTCTCTGGAATTTTTTACTAAATGAACAAGGTATTTTGTATTTAGATTTTTTTATATATTTTCATACCACTTCAGTACTTTCTGGTTACATATAAGCAGTTTTCTTCAATTACACAAGAGCAATTTTGCACCAACATATTAACTCATCTTCCTGCATCTCTTATCCTTCTGCATCTGCTATGAGTTTCAAAAATAACAGTAGATGTTTGGCTTTTTTCTTGCAAGCAACTCATTAATTAGACATTAACTTATCAGTATTTTAGGATAAAGAAAATCTGAATCAAGGCTCAATTCAAAATAAGGTTCTAAATGTATTTTATTAAGTCACAGATCCAGTTGGGATTGCAGCACTTACACACAACACTTAAATACTATAATTTATACAGCTAATATAGGATACCCATGATCACTTTTTTCAATATAACCAGTTTTTATTAGGATAAAAGCAAAAACTCAACTATGAATTCTTCTTTTTCTACACTGCAGCTTGAACTCTTATACTTGAACTCTCAAACATACTGTCTTGGGAAAAGCAGAGACTAGAACGTATAGAAATTGATGAGACTAGTAGAGTTAAAAGTTGTGTTCAAGCAGAAATTCCCGAACTGATACCCAGAGTCTCCAAATGTAGTCTGTGCTGATGATGACTCAATTACACATGCAGCTTGTTGCACCAAAGCAAACTTGTCTCAAATGTGTTTTTTTTTTTGATGACGCTAGTCTGTGCTTTGTTAGTTTTTAGCCTTTCTGTGCTGAGGAATGCAAAGACTGCACTTGAATTTTTCCTTAGGACATTCTAATCAATATGCACTAGGTATATTTAAAAAAGGAAAAGGATATTCTTCAGTAACTATTAAAGGAGGATTTTGCTTTTGCAAGTAATACATTTCCAACTAACAGTTATAGGTGATAATCATACAGCTTGCCCTCATTTCTCATCATTACATTTTCCAAATGGAGAAAGTATGCCTTTTGAAATGAGTTTTTATAGTATTACTGTTCATGTGGCATGTTAAAACCAAGGCACCCTTGATCCTGGAACCCTTGAGAAGCATCGGAAGACTCCACTGACTGCGTTTGAGGCAGGTTTTCTCTAACGTTATTAATCATTGGACACTTGTGGAACAGTGGGATCTGCAAAAGCAGACCTTTCTGCCAGGGCATGGTCCCTGGGACAGAAGTCTAGTCATGCAGTCAGACTGAGCCCTTCAGTATCAGAAAACATAGCTGCCTTGTAAACTTTAACTTTTGGAGTGGTGGAAAAGGGTTTCTGTGGCCGTGTGATTCCCTGTCTCTGAAATTATGCAGAGCAAGTTAAAAGATGGGAATTTGTTTTTCTGCTGCTCTCAGAAGTGTCTGTGTTGGTTGAAAAAGTATTTGTAAACGTTCTGTTACTGATTTTATTATAACTATGTAAAATATCTTAAGTGGTTTAAGTACTTTGGTGGCATGTGATATATTTTTCAGGTCGTATTAATAAATCGTATTCTTAATGATCAATTAATGTCATTTTTACAGTGAATTTTCATTTCATTTATTTATTTTCCCATTCCCATATATGGAGAGAAAACTGAATATTCATTACAGGTCATTAATGGGCATTTTTACTGTACCTTAATACTTGAAGCATCATGCCATATATTAACCTGTGTAATGCTAAAGAGTTCCAACTTATCTTAAAGGGAAAAAAAAGCACTTATTTCTCATCTCCATTTTTCTTTGGATTAAAGCCTCGTCTTGATAGAGATCATCATGCTAGAGAAATATTTTTTTATAAGTCAAAACACTGTCTGTTACGGATGTCTTTCATACTCCTAAGTGATGCTGTAGCAAAATCAAGACATTTCATCATTCTCGGTGTGAAGATCAGCACTTCAGGTTGAGTTTTTCTTCATCAAAAAACACTGAAAATTCATTTTAAGAAGTCCGTTATGGTTACTTAACATTTAGAAGAAATCAGCTTATAAACCTGCGGAAAAAAAGAGACTAAGGAAAAGAAACAGAGCTGGATAATTCACAAGATGATTAAAGTAGAATAAGTTTGTGGATTTGGCAAACATGACCATCAGTTCTCTCTCAAGCTGCATGAAAACAAATCAGAAGGTAGCAGTAGATAAGATTATGTGCACTTGTTTTTCCAGAGAATAATTTATTTCACTTTTGTAAGGCAGAAATACGGCAAAGTCCTGCCCAAGCCTCATGAAGCGTGGACCCTGTGGTTTTCAAATAAGTAGGCCATAATCTTCTCAGTAGCTGGATTAAAGATAACACCTTTAGACAAGATAGCTGGGGAAAGAAAATCCTATTAAACTTGTCATTCAACAGTATCATGCTGGACACAACTAAGTTGTTTGCTGCGTAATGCAGCAACTCACCAAAGACATGCAAAGAAAGTATCTTGGATTTGTTTCAGTGTTTGTAAGCCAATAAGCAGCTTTTATCTACAGGGTTTGAAGTAACACATTCCCATTCATATATTTTGTAGAAGCGCTGAGCTACATGTTCATTTGCTAATTGCAGCAGTTCACAGCATGCTCACAGGGTGAAATAAATAGCATTTCCTGACCTGAACTCAGAGTGGGGCCTACTGGGCTTTTCATAAAGTACGAGTTTTCTTTCTGTGAAAATACAAGATTTGAATTTTCAAATCTTGAGTCTATTGAAATTTCAGTATAATCCTAAATGCAGTTATGAATCTAATAAATTATGACTATGCATTGGTAACAGTAAGCAATAAGCCACATTTAGCCATAAAGCTCAGTTGAATAGTATAAAAAAAAATTTTCATCAGATTTGCTATACTAAAAAAAAAAAAAAAAGACTAAGACATGATTCTAGGGAGTAGAAGATGTATGGCTTACTTTTCTAAAAAGCATCTTTCTGAACTGCTCTCAGTGAACAGGAAAATCATACACAAATGCAAAACCAGTGCTAATGAACATAGACATCTCCCCTACCTGACCTACAGGCTTCCGTATGCTTGGCATTTTGCACTGAATGCCGGACTCCTTTAGCGGTGTTGCTAGATGTGTTACTTTTCGTTACACTAATCCAGATAAAGATTTTTTTTCTCTCACCGTGCAGAGCTCCCTTTCCCTCCCTACCTGATATCTGAGCCTCTTCTTCTGGCTTAAATTGTGCATGTAGCTGCTGCCTAACCTGTTTTTGCTAAAGTCGTCTATTAAAACAGGAGAGAAAGGGGGGGGCAACATCACTTCTGGTGTTCAGGAGCAGGCTTTTAGAGCACCTGGACTCTTTGGGGAAACAGGTTCATCTGCAATTATCTAAAAGGTCTCAAAACTGAACAGCCCACAACTTGCAAAGAGCCTTCATTCTATGTCTTCTATATGAGGTAAAATTACTCTTCCCTCACCACACAGTCACTATCCTTCCAAAAAACATGTAACTGAAAAAAAAGGAAGTAACATAGCCCACAGGAGGAACTCTTACAGGTGAAAAGCTACAGGGATGTGGAGATCAGCTCATGTAAGGTCATTTTCCAGCCACGTATTTACTGTGGTGATGTATAAGAGTTATTTTCCTGCTATTTTTAGGCTAATTTGTTCTGTTCTCTTCCATGTTCTTCAACTTTTTATTTGATTTATATTTGTGCAGGGGGAAAGATAAAAGGTTGCCTTCATCACTAATAATGGTTTAAGAATGCCCCAGTTTGGAATGTAAGGAAGCTAAAAATGGTTGAAAAAAATTAAAATTGGAAGTCATCATTAAATTCTTAGTGCATATAGGATTTAATTTGTTTGCTTTACGTAGAGGTATCCAAGATGTCTTGGAGAGTATTGCTGTAGATACCTAATAGATGCCTAAGAGCCAAAAGAAATGTATCCTAAAGAACCTGTCAGTTAATCACTTCTGTTAGATCAAATTGCAATACCTTGGTAGTGCTCCTGGCAGACCTCAGATGTTTCCTGCCTGATGGCAACATAGACATAGACATCTCCAAGTTCAAGATGCCAACTATTCCATCCCACCTTAGGAAGTGGTTTGGGATAAGTACTGTCCCTACCTTGCAGAAAATCGGATTTTGGATTAAGGAATAAGAGCTTTTTAAACTACAGACTATTTTTGATGAAATGCACTTGCAATTATCCTAAGGACAATTTAAACAATTGCCACAATTTTGTTCATGCCTTTTTAAGAAAGATTATTGTTTCTGTCTTTTAAATTGTGTCAGTAGTCCAAACAAACAACTTCTACCTATTATCTATTCACAGGGAAACAGTTTATAACAAGATGGCGGACATCTTGCTTTATCTGGCAAATATTCTTGAAACTAATTCAAAGGAATGTAACAAGAAAAGCAAGCTAGAAATGATTATGGTTAAAATCTTCAAAATTCTTTATCATCTGAGCAGTAACATCACTCCACGCTAAGGAATACTATTAACCACCACTATTGGTATAATTGCAAGTCTGTGCATATTACTACTGTGGGATGTATGCATGCTTTACAGCTTTGAACTTGGAGACTTTGATCAGCAGCATCAAGATGCTGACCTGTCTCACGCTATGCAAAAAGCATAAATGGCAGAATATGATGTTTCCTGTGCCTCAGTCTCCTCTCTGTCATGTAGATCGGCCAGAGCTGTAATGAAGCAGGAATTGAGCTCATGCAAAGCATATTTTAAATTAATCCAGTTACTGTAATGAAACTACTGTCTCTTTCAGCTTTGAGCAATTGTTTGTATATGTATTCAATGGAGCTAACTTTCAAGGCAATGATTGGTCTTGACAGAGTTGAATTTGTTTTTCATGAAATGCACTATCAATCAGCATCGCTTACTGCTGGTCCCTTGGAGCTCCAGAATATTTTCCTATCTAGGTGATGATGGTGTTTATTTTAAGGTTGCTTGTATGGTCACCAGCCCAATAATAAAACTCCCATTGCTGTAGCTCTCAATGGTATAGGAAGCATGTAAGGGAGCTCCCTTCCTACATTGCTACAGGTGGTATCTTAGGAGTGACTGAAGTTTGTATGAATCTCAGCTGACCCTCAGTACACCAAGGCTGCAGTATGCCAGACAACATCATACAGGTGCATGACGCTGTGTGATGCATTAGGTGAAGGTGAGTTCCAAAACTGCAGTCACACCAGGACACAGCTGCAAGGTTATTTGAAAAATGGAAAACCATGACTGACTGGGGAGACGAAGCTAGGCCCAATGAATGCGAGAACATTGTTCAGACAATGGAGTTTCTGATTCCTGACTATTTCAGACTTAGAACAGTTAAGACATTTAATATCTTAGATACTTGCAAGAAAGTTTCCACCAATTCACTTGTTAACAAAGGGTACCGCATACGTAGATACCCTGCTAACATGGCAATTTAGTGCTAAACTTCTAAGCAGGTGGCAAGCCCAAGGGAAAGATCTGGTACTGGCAGTGATCCCACAAGCCTCTCATACTTCTTGTTGGGTGGTTAGGCAGACATAGGTAGGCAGACGATATAAGGCCAGTGAGACAAAGAAGGGAGCAGGCTGTGGTGGGTAACATCACCATCTTCAACGGCCAAACTGAGTGTCCTGCTCCAAAATGGACTGCCTTTGGTTTTTCTGTCAGGATTCTCTGCAGTAACAGCTGTGGAGCCCTCTTCCACCACAATGCTGGGGAATGCTTACCAAGCACTGCAACAGCATCTTGGGCAGAGGATTCCTGAAGAGCTAAAAAGGATGATGACAGGTGGCAAGATGAACTCGACAACCTAAAAGACACACTACGACATGTAATATGGGACCACACATACAAGTTTGTTCGTATCTCTCAACAAACACTGAAGGCTTGGACCTCAAAATGGGGTGAAACAAGTGAGATGTCACAGTGAGTTGCCTTGGCTGTGGAAACATTTCAACAAAGCTCCTCCAGGCTACCTAAAAAGAGCTGCAATGAGTGCAGGTGAAAGTGCCCAGTTGCTACTCTGGGCACTTTCTTACCAAGGTGAAAATACATCTTTCCGTAGTTCTCTGAAGTATACATTTACATTTCATAATTTTGCTCCCTTATGTAGCAGTCCTTTCATTGTGACTTTCATTTTGATGACTTTAACCTGTGTCTTCTTTATGTTTATGCTGCAAGAGCAGCACCGGTCACATCTAGCAGTGCATTTGCAGTAGCAAGCGTCAGGTAGTAACTGGACTTTCTGACCCTTGTAAAACAATGCTTCCTGCCTACAGCGGGAAACATTCACATCCCCTATCTTCCCAGCAAGGCCTGGCAATTAGCATCCTTGAACCGCAACACACGGTGGGTGTGTTTGTGCTAACCATTTCTAGTTCCTCTGAATCCCTACATCTTGGAACCATGATTTTCTGGGGAGCTCATTCATTGAAGTAATTTCTAGAGAGTAATGGACTAGGTGTTTAGATACAGTGTTTTTCTTTTCTGCCATAGATATCTCAGTAGAGTTGCCCCATTTCTTAGATGAGAATGTCTAAAAGTACATTATTTTCTACTTTAAAGTTACTTCAACGAGGAACATACGTAAATTAGTTTCAGAACTGCTCCATCAGTTTCCTTATGGAGATCCGAGAGAAAAGTCCTTCCTGCTCTCATGGGGGATACTTCAAAGCAGTCAGCAAAATCCCACGATCATGAAACACTGATAATCCTCTAAGTAGCTTATAATATCATCTTCAAAAATACCAAATAAAGTTTTCACAATTTGAAGTGAGGCATGGGCACATGTGGTAGTCCACAAGCTATTCTGAAGACTGACAGCAATCCGGTGAAAAAAACGAACCACTATTCTAACATACCAAGGAAAAGTACTGCTTTAACCAGGAAGGGAGAGGAGACTGAATACTCCAATTCCCTGAGCTGGACCATAGCCTATTATCATCTCCTACCTTAAAAATAAAATAATTAAGGTGATGGTAAGGCTTCTTAAGAGCCCTGCAGCTATGAAGTCTGTCTTCATAAAAGTTCCCCCCTTTTACAGCATCATCCTCAAAATAACCTCATAAGCATAGATGCGTGAAGGCACTTGAGATCGAGGTAAAAACACTCTCCAAGGATGATTCTCTTGGAGCTATATGGGAAATCAACACATTGCAGGAGTACCTATGCAAATGCTCAAAATTCTAGTGATTGTTTGACACTGACTGAGACACTAAAGAAAGTAAAATATTTCTACTGGCAGCTTTGCTGGCCTTGGAGACTTAGGAGAGCTGTAGAATGGCTGTTGAAGACGTAAAGAGGTTCAGTACCATCAGCAGAAGTGGGAGGAAATTTAGACACTTGCAGTGAAACTTAGTGACTTTTTAAATCTGGCCACTGACACCAAACTGCCAAGATACCTGAGCCTCTTGTCTGTCTGCTTATCCGAGGTGTTACTATGGTCCACATCATGTTTTGGTTACAGCATCAACCATTCCAAGAAGCACAAGAGCCACAGTGTTTTCTTCACTACGCACACTTGGTACTGGATCATTGGCATCAGCCTGAGGGGTTGAGCTTTGGCAGGAACTGCTGGGACTAGGAAGTCACAGTACACAAATAGGACAGAAGTGGAAAAATATCAGAAAAGGTCTTTGTGACAACTGACACAGATGACAACACATGGGGGTTTTTTTTGTCCAACCTCAGTGCTGCTGAGCTTTTAGATGGGAACCAAAGAACAACTTCCCTAAAAGTATCCTGAGCTCCTGGCTGCAAGCTTGGCTCCGGATTTTTCCAGAAAGTTAATATGTAGCTTGGCTATGCTGTCCTTACACTTTTGTGAAACTAAAGGACTTACAAGGAGAGATTTTCTATATTATATGGATATTATCATCCAGGCCATACAAACATCCAATTTTCTGAGACAGCCCTGTTACAAAAGGAAAGTGTTTAAACCTCAGTGACCTTAAGACAACTATTCCTTAATCCAAGAATACTCCGTTCTCTTAAAACTTAAAAGAGGTTACCCTTGGACAACAAGGAAACAAAATTATCTTTGGGAGCAAACATTTAAGAAGAATTTGTTGCAGTCCATAGATCAGCAGAGAGGAAGGAGCTCCGTCTCGAGCAGAAAGACAAGTGAGAACAGAAGGGCAGCTTCTGGGTACAAAACAAGGTTCACGTGCATCATACCATTGACCAAATTACCTCCCCAGTACAGCTCAACAGGGCCCACACTGTTCATTCATTTTGGGACAAAATGCATGAGGGAGAACTGAGGAGTACTACGTGACATCCATCCTTAGAGGCACTGAAAACTCTAATAGACAAGGCCTTGAGCAATCCATTGCAAGTTAGTCCTGCTGTGAGGTAGAGGTCGGACCAGAGGACCTCTAGAGCTCACTCCCAGCCTACATCTTCTATAATAGCTTCTAAATACAGCCTGCTGTATGTATAACTAATAACTGCTTGTACACGTATACAATGTATAAATTGTGGCTAGTAAATACTAAGTATAACACACTTCCTAAAATGTCGGGCTTTGTAGGACCCCAAGGATTCACAGTAAATCAGGGCAACCCAAGTGGAGAAAGTGCAACAGATCCAGATCCATCCCCAGCTGGATGGCCTGCCGAGGCAGCTCTATTTGAGTCTGCCCACCTACCACCTTCCTCCACAGACAGCATTTGTTTAACTTCCTTGTAAGCAACCTTTGCATTTCCCATGTCTGCCACAGTAGGTGCCTATATATTTAACATTTCAATTAATTACCAGCTTGTCAAGGTCAGGAACTATTTTACCTTACTCAAATAGTTTATTTAAAAATATATATATATAATATTCTCCAATTCTGAAAAGGATAGAACTTCCCACAACGTAACAATTTTTTATATATAAAATATTTATGCATTCAGTGAATGGAAACAGTTTTACTGCATACATTTTTAATGTTGTACTCTATGCAAATCTGCATTACCTAAAAATATACTGTAATTCTGTAAATCAAAACAAGCAGGGAAAAAACACTCTAGCTGTGCGTTGGGTTATAATACCTTAACAGAAATGATATGAAAGTTTTAGTTTTGAATTTAAGAACTCACAAACAACTTTTTACTTTGCGAGTGTATAAATAGAAGACTGAATACATTCTGGCTCCGTTAAACTGAACTGCAGTAGAGGTTACAAAATGTAGATATATTTATTCATTTTCAGTATTTCAGTGTTTCCAAGTCCACCTTTCATGATAGTGTTAAATAAGTCATGGTCCTATCCTTCCAAACATTTCAACACTCTTTAAAAAACAAAAACAAACAAACACAATTTTAAAGTGAAATGTCCTCCTTCATTGAAGTGTTAGATCATTCTTTATGTTTAACATAGCATACTGTAGTTGTATAAAACATGCATCTTCTGGGATAATTATGAATACATCATGAATGAGCCCACATAAATTATTTTTTGTACAACTCTAAGTAAAAAAAAAAGTCAGATTAAGTGCCTCTGAGGCCCTTTCTTCCCAGCTATCAGTTCTCCAAACACACTACTGATATATTTATCTATGTCTACAGCTATGTGCTAGAGAACCAGTTTTAAAATTTTAAAGTACATCTACAGTATGTTTTACTTTTCTTTAAAGTTTGTGACAGTCCTTGGATATCGAGTTGTGAAATGTAAAAATAGTCACAGATTCTTTTTTTCCAGAAATAAAAACACATCTAGGAGAGTATGCAAAAACAAGGCAAAATGAATTTCATAGCACTTAATGAGGGTTAATACAAGTCAATAACTAATACTGAGGTTTGTAAAAAGGGCTGGATGAGCAGTTACATGTAGAAGCAAATGGTCTAGTAATTCCAATATTATCAGAAATTGTTTCTGTAACCAACATTTTCCACCCTCAAAACCAGTCGATTTACATTCAAAATAGGCTGACATGGATATACTTACTAGGTGTAAAAATAGTGCACTATTTTTCCTGCCACAAAGCAAAATTGCATCCTAAGAGCTGGTAAACCTTCTTTTTCCTTAAATACAGAGAACGGGCGAAAAACTTGAAAGAAATTAAATTAAGGCAATTAGACAGGTAAAACAGGACTGCCCATGATGAAGTAGCTGAAACTAGTATACTTCAAAGTTATACTAGCTGCTGAACACTGACATGCAGCTTTTGATAGACATGTATGAATGATATAAACTTCAACATTATGGCTTTATACAAGTGCATAGTTGCAACTGCAATAAGTAACGGTATCTGATTAATAAGCATAAAAAAATAAAGTGGAAAGATTTTTAAAACCCTCTTGCAGTATTACAGTACAATATATATACACAGTATAATGGTCACTTCTTACAGATGCAGTCTATATCACTACGGTGGATCTTTCTCCTGTTCTTCCTGCAGACATGCTGGTGGCATCTTTATGAAAGCTGAAAAGTCAGTTTCTTCAGTTTAAATATTCATTCCTCTCAATCCTTTTGTGAAATGTAGTGTGTGTCTTGCCAAGAAAGCTTTTGCGGAACAGAGTTTCAAAGGTTACCTAACATATCCTTTTACTATTTACCAACCATTCCTCGTTTGATCAGTCACTCAGGGGAATACAGGAAAACCCTCAGAGATTAGTAAATTATATTGCAGCAAAAAATGTAAACCTCTGATATATATAGCACAATCTCTCAGGAAAATATATATTTTTAATATATTTTGGGATATGTTTCAGTCTTGCTTTAATGGGAAGAAAATTATCACCTTGAATTGTGTCTGCATTCACGGAAAGCAGTTAGCTGAAAAAGAAGCAGGAAGTTTGGTCAGTAAAGGCACTCAATGAAACTGCAAAAATATACCTCCTCAGATCTTTATTTAAGGGCTCTTCAGCATACTTTGGAAAAATGGCATTCCTCTGCATTAAGCAGCATCAAGTTACTTAAATACACTACATCCTCATGCATTACAACCCCAAATCAGTTAAATCCTCTTGTAATATTTGAGGGTACAATACAATACAACAGTGAGTGTTATACTCATGTCTAAAAATTAGTAATTCATAAGCTTGTAATATCTAAAGATGCAGTATATTTAATAAAAATAATGCTAGTTACTGTAAACACTAAGCCAGTTGCATTCTACAAGAGCTAATATCTCAATTTAACTGAGTGCACAGCTGAGGTACAGCCCTAGTGCTGCTGTCATTGCCCATTCTTTGATAAAGCTCTCACACACCTTACATACTATTTAAAAAAAATCTAAAGGCAGGTCACAGCTAACATTAGTTTTTTTCTGCACTGTAAACATTTAATCAGCATGTAAAAAGACTAAACATTGAAAAATATAAAACAGCTATAACTACTTCCAGTACATTCATATTTAAGTTAGCCATGGGACAAATTAGGTCAATACTACAGCTTTTTCTTTTTTATAGCAGTCAAAGAATCCGTATCACAGCAGCTGCAAAGCTACTTTGCTTTACGTTGTTTTCAGATGCATTTTTAGGTACCCAAGAAGCACAGCACGGCAAAGGAAAGCCAAGTCAAAGTCACTTCATAAACTCGAAAAAGCAAAACACAGAACTCCTGTGATTTCATGTCTGCTAGCCACACACAAGTCAGTGTATGTTAAAAGCTTAAAAAAGGTATATGTAAATACCAATTGTATTTCAAGTAAATATTTAAATGCTACAATCTCCGTGTTAGTCTTCAAAAAAATTAATTGCATAGGTTAGCAGTATTATCACTTCAGATGAGCACCTGCTCTAACAACAGATGCTTTCTTTTTGGGCAGGCAGACATGAATTTTCAATAAAGAACTAAAATTTAAAAATACTGAAAAAGCAAAAACCTTGTTTTAATGAAAATGACTCCACTAAAAATTCATCTTCACCATGAACAGAATCTCATTTTTTGTGTGTAAAATTTAAAAATGAGATCTCATATTTTCTCTGCTTTGAGAAACAAAACCCAACACACCATGCTGTATTCAAAGGCAAACAAATCCATTCCTCACTATTTAGGTTTACCCCTTTTACTTCTTCAGAAATCAAAAACATCGTCATCATCATCATCACCATCAATATCATCAACATCATCAAATGACCAATCCCAGTCTTTAAAAGCCAGATCAAGTAATCTGCAACAGGAGGGTTTGATATTTAATACGTAACGCACTTCTATAAATGACTTCAAAATTCCATTTGTCATCACTAAAACTTTTAAAATAAAAGATTGTCTTAATGTAGGTGGGTTTCTTCCTTTGCTTATCATGGAATGTGAATATTCACTCAGTGTTCATGTAAGTCGGTAACATTTTATCCATTGGAAACATACCTCACAAATCCCTACATTCTAAATAACGTTTACCATATTGATTCTTTTCTCAGCGTTTCAGTGGAATAGATCAACCTTTCATAAAATCAGTTGTGTTCTGTATTGCTGCTGTTCTTGTTGACTGAGGTGCAATTTTATGTTCACCTGCTATCCCTTTGCAGAAAAATAATGCAAGGCTAACACTTTTTCCAGTAAAATTATGTAATTTTGATTGAACAGAACATCAAATTTAAAAAATGTCATCTGAATTTACAAACACAATGGCATGTTAATATTTATCCTGTAGCTCATTATTTAAAGCTAAGCAATGTCAAAAGAGGGTATATCCACTTGTTCTCTAGGAGTCAATGTCTATGCTCCTTCCATGGTCAATACTAACAGAGTGGGGAAGGAAAGAGAGGCAGACTTGTTCAGCAAATGAGTCATTTCATCTATTGTAGACATTTATTTTTGGATGGGATGAGTCATTGTCTAGAGCCATTAGTCTCTTTCTGTTCATTATAGAAGAATCCAAGACAAATGTCACACACTAGGTACTAGCTTCACAATACCTATTGCTAAAGAAATGACACCCAATCTAGTAATCTCTCCAGTGACTTCAGTGGATTTTAGATTAGGATTAGAATTATATGACAACCACATGAGGCAGAGAGAGAAACTGTACCCTAAAGAAGGTGCTTAAGATATTTCAGCTAAAACATGACACAGTGATATAACTAATCACATACTTTAAACAACGGGTTCTGGTTTTTATTGGGTTTTCAAGTTTTGATGGTTTTACACTTTTAAAAGTGATATATCCCTAAAAACTCAATATTCATTTATTATATGAACTACAGTTACTGTTACACCTACAGGATGCATTAGGTTTTAAAGTAATATTGTTTTTTTATTTTTGCAACTATTCTTTTGGCACAATTCAGTTGAATGGATTACTAGAAAGAATATGGTCTGTATAAAACACTGCTTTGCCCTGTTTTAAATTCTCATGAAATACAACAGCCATGAACAATTTGGAGAAACTCTCACTATGTGAAATTCTCAGCACAGACAGCATTTATAGGATCATGCAGGTTGGAAGGGGCTTTGGGCGGTCCCTAACCCAGCCGGCTGGTCAAAGTAAGGTCACTATGAAGTCCGACCAGGTTGCTCAGGGCTGGGTCCCCTCAGGGCTTGGAAACCTC